AAGTTTTCTGCTATGGCAAGGTGCAACACTTGGCTGTAAATTTTCAAGACATTTAACTTCTCAGCACATTCCATCTGCCTCATGAACTCACATTTGGAGCGAATATCGTCTCCTTCTATCTTGTGAAGCTTAGGAGAATCACCGAATGAGAATACTGTTCATTTCCATGGTTTGTCAATCAGTTCCGAAATTAATAACCCCATTGCAATACAAACCTTTTCCCCCAATGTCCCTACGGTATACTCGCCCACCATCCTAAACCTTCCCCATCTTGTGCACCCACAACATGGCTTTGTAAGACTCATCGTTATTCCCCTTCAATCGAAGACTGCATGACCTTGAAAGTGGTGAGAGGGACCATCCAGGCCTTATTTGCATAGTCATCCACATTCCTCGATCAATCATCGTTGCTTCTGGTTGCATCGAAGCAAAAATTAAGGCATGGGTTTAGTTCATCAGACAGCAGATGTTGATCGTGTGGTGGGTGCTTATAGGTTGTGAATCTAATCAGGCCTTGGTGGTCTGTGGAGGGGCTAGGCCGGTGGAGCTCCGGCGGGACTAAAAGGCGAAGAGGAGACATCACTGGGGTTTTGAGAATCAGGATTAGATAATCAATAAACTTGCATCAGGTTACTTATAGGTAGACCTGGCAGTTTTTTACACGACATGAAAACGACACGAAAATAACGGATTTCGGGTCAACACGATAACTTATCGGGTCACTATCGGGTGACCCGTTAATAACGAGTTCTTAACAGGTATACACGCGGGTAACACGTGGGTAACCCGTTTCGACCCGTTAAGTAAAAAATTATTTTAATAATTTTAAAGTTTAATTACTAAAAGATTTATTATAAAATACAATAGTCATATTAATATATACAATATATTCTATATTAAATATATAGTTTTGTATTATTGTTCTATATAAATTATAAAAAAATAAAAAAAAGTTTTAGTCATTATTTATTTTTATTATGAGAGTTCCTTATTATCATTACTAGGATCAATTTTACATAACATATTCTTGTCCAAAATTAAAATATACTAGTATAGTATTTGTATATGCAAGAACTAAGAAGACATACATACAAGTATGAAAAATGTGAAAGAATATATAAACACTCGTGATTTATCATTATTCCTTCACGAATAGATAATTGTTACACTTATATTGTCGTTTAGATTTTTAAAATCCTTCAAACCCTCATGAATAATGTTTTTTATATGAAGGCAAAATTAATAAAATTAATAATAATTATTGTAGAAGTGTAAAAAATGTAAAAAAATATATATATAATTACTCATATATAAAAAATGTAAATAGTTTAAATTAAAGATCAAATTTATTCATTACATTCTTATGGGGTCGAGGAGTGTATATGTACAAAATCATCAAAATCGGAGCTAAAATAACCGTTAAATTGTGATTTTTCGTTTATAACCGTCGAAAACTTTTGTTCCGTTACGTAATCTCTGAATGTTTGTTTTTTACAATTTTTTACGTTTGCAATCTCGAAATGTGTACAAATAAGTTTGACGGTTGGATCGTTGAAAAAAGTTTCGTAGAATGCATATTGCATCAAAACGGTAGATTAAACAAACACTTAGAGTTAATATTATACTTCTATTAAGTATAAAATAAGTTTTTGTGGTATCCACTAGTGTAAATACTTTAAATTAAAGATCAAATTTATTTATTACATTCTTATAGGTTCGAGGAGTGTATCTGTAAAGAATCATCAAAATCGGAGCTAAAATAACCGTTAAATTGTGATTTTTCGTTTATAACCGTTGATAACTTTTGTTCCGTTACGTAATCTCTGAATGTTTTTTTTTACTATTTTTTACGTATGCAATCTTGGAATGCGTACAAATAAGTTTGACGGTTGGATCGTTAAAAAACGTTTCGTATAATGCATATTGCGTCAAAATAATAGATTAAACAAACACTTAAAGTTAATATTATACTTCTATTAAGTATAAAAAAAGATTTTGTGGTATCCACTAGTGTAAATACTTTAAATTAAAGATCAAATTTATTCATTACATTCTTATAGGGTCGAGGAGTGTATCTGTAAAAATCATCAAAATCGGAGCTAAAATAACCATTAAATTGTGATTTTTCGTTTATAACCGTCGAAAACTTTTGTTCCGTTACGTAATCTCTGAACGTTTGTTTTTTACAATTTTTTACGTATGCGATCTCAGAATGTGTACAAATAAGTTTGACAGTTGGATCGTTGAAAAAATTTTCGTAGAATGCATATTGCGTCAAAACAGTAGATTAAACAAACACTTAGAATTAATATTATACTTCTATCAAGTATAAAATAAGTTTTTGTGGTATCCACTAGTGTAAATACTTTAAATTAAAGATCAAATTTATTCATTACATTCTTATAGGGTCGAGGAGTGTATCTGTAAAAAATCATCAAAATCGGAGCTAAAATAACCGTTAAATTGTGATTTTTCATTTATAACCGTCGAAAACTTTTGTTCCGTTACGTAATCTCTGAATCTTTATTTTTTATGATTTTTTACGTATGCAATCTCAGAATGTGTACAAATAATTTTGACGGTTGGATTGTTGAAAAAAGTTTCGTAGAATGCATTTTGCGTCAAAACGGTAGATTAAACAAACACTTAAAGAGTTAATATTATACTTCTATTAAGTATAAAATAAGTTTTTAGTGTAAATACTTTAAATTAAAGATCAAATTTACTCATTACATTCATATAGGGTTGAGGAGTGTATTTGTAAAAAATCATCAAAATCGGAGCTAAAATAACCGTTAAATTGTGATTTTTTGTTTATAACCGTTGATAACTTTTGTTCCGTTATGTAATCTCTGAATGTTTTTTTTTTACGATTTTTTACGTATGAAATCTTGGAATGTGTACAAATAAGTTTGACGGTTGGATCGTTAAAAAAAGTTTCGTAGAATGTGTCAAAATAGTAGATTAAACAAACACTTAAAGTTAATATTATACTTCTATTAAGTATAAAAAAAGATTTTGTGGTATCCATTAGTGTAAATACTTTAAATTAAAGATCAAATTTATTCATTACATTCTTATAGGGTCGAAGAGTGTATTTGTAAAAAAATCATCAAAATCGGAGCTAAAATAACCGTTAAATTGTGATTTTTCGTTTATAACCGTCGAAACCTTTTGTTCCGTTACGTAATCTCTGAATGTTTGTTTTTTACGATTTTTTATGTATGCGATCTCAGAATGTGTACAAATAATTTTGACGGTTGGATCGTTGAAAAAAGTTCCGTAGAATGCATATTGCGTCAAAACAGTAGATTAAACAAACACTTAGAGTTAATATTATACTTCTATTAAGTATAAAATAAGTTTTTGTGGTATCTACTAGTGTAAATACTTTAAATTAAAGATCAAATTTATTCATTACATTCTTATAGGGTCGAGGAGTGTATCTGTAAAAAATCATCAAAATCGGAGCTAAAATAACCGTTAAATTGTGATTTTTCGTTTATAACCGTCGAAAACTTTTGTTCCGTTACGTAATCTCTGAATGTTTGTTTTTTACGATTGTTTATGTATGCGATCTCAGAATGTGTACAAAGAAGTTTGACGGTTGGATCGTTGAAAAAAGTTTCGTAGAATGCATATTGCGTCAAAACAATAGATTAAACAAACACTTAGAGTTAATATTATACTTCTATTAAGTATAAAAAAAGATTTTGTGGTATCTACTAGTGTAAATACTTTAAATTAAAGATCAAATTTATTCATTACATTCTTATAGGGTCGAGGAGTGTATCTATAAAAAATCATCAAAATCGGAGCTAAAATAACCGTTAAATTGTGATTTTTCGTTTATATCCGTAAAAAACTTTTGTTCCGTTACGTAATCTCTGAATGTTTGTTTTTTACGATTTTTTATGTATGCGATCTCGGAATGTGTACAAATAAGTTTGATGGTTGGATCGTTGAAAAAAGTTTCGTAGAATGCATATTGCGTCAAAACAATAGATTAAACAAACACTTAAAGTTAATATTATACTTCTATTAAGTATAAAATAAGTTTTTGTGGTATCTACTAGTGTAAATACTTTAAATTAAAGATCAAATTTATTCATTACATTCTTATAGGGTCGAGGAGTGTATCTGTAAAAAAATAATCAAAATCGGGGCTAAAATAACAGTTAAATTGTGATTTTTCGTTTATAACCGTCGATAACTTTTGTTCCATTACGTAATATTTGAATGTTTGTTTTTTTACAATTTTTTACGTATGCAATCTTGGAATGTGTACAAATAAGTTTGACGGTTGGATCGTTGAAAAAAGCTTGTCATTACGAGTGTTTATATATTTTTTCTAAATTTTTTTACACTTCTACATTAATTAAAAAACTATTAAAGACTTTAGGTAAGCGAAAATATACTGAAAACAAAATTGCGTTTTTATGTTTTGGATGTGATAATATGGAATGTATATACTTATTTAGTATTATGTTTTTCATTTGATTATTTATTGGTTTAAAATATATTTTCCTTAACGGGTAACGGGTCGGGTCATATTAGCTGTTAATATTATCGGGTCGATTTCGGGTCGGGTCATTTTACCCGTTTATTTTAACGGGTGTTACACGACACGACCCGTTAAGATATCGGGTATGACACGAAAACGACACGAACACGGAAAACACGACACGAATGTCAGGTCTACTTATAGGATGCGGTTTCTTGGGGATCAAGGTAATCAATAAACTGGCATCAGGTTACAAAATCAAATCATAAACCGCCCTACTGCATTCAATTTGAAGAGAATCAAACCTGGAAAATAATCTGAACACTTTACCCCACCTCATTCAGAGATTCTTTCATGCAATCAACTCATACTTCCATTGGCGTCACCAGACCATCAATATTTGCCAAATATTTATAAAGGCGAACCACCAGCCCAGTAAGGACTTGCCACTTGCGCTAACCTCAAAGGCTTTAAATTATTTTGCTTAGTTCATGAGTACGACGCAAACGAAATATTTATATTGAACAATTTACATACCGCAAACATATGTTATGAAGGCTTTAGCAGTTTTCAAGTAAGGAAGACATCCAGCTGACCATTTCACATGCTTTACAACTGCTGTAGAGTTACATAACACAGATTATAAGCATCCACCAGTATACAAGCCAAACAAAACGATGATGCATCGCACCCAATTTGAAAGCATCGCCATAATTTGGCAGTCGAGTTTCAAAACTTTTCCTATAACACGAGCGCAAAGACATCTCAATGGAAACTATGTAGTCCCTTTAGCATTTTGACTATCTACAACTATAACTCTCCGGCAGTATGGGCAGTCCCCTCGAATACGAGCCCAGGGACTCAAGCAGGCAGCATGGAATCTATGCTCACAAGGCAAGCAAATAAGCTTATCTCCATCGGTAAAACTCTCCAGGCAAATACTACAATCTCCGGAAGCCCTTAACACCAAGCCGTCGACACCCACTTCTGCGCTGCTGAAAATCTCAGGGCTCAAACAATCAAGAACCTCTTGACTGAGACCTGGAGGCTTCTTGTTCACTTCTTGCAAGAGATGTAGCCTTTCAATTTGGGAGCCCAAGTTAGTTGAAGAGTAGGCACTGGCTGGCTGACTTGTCAAGATTTCAGCGTCCCAATCCCTTACAAGGGGACTCAAGTCATCAACATGCAGTAGCCCACCTCCGTAAAGATGCAATGCTCTACGCCGCCTAATAAAACCAAAGTGAATTAGGTAATTTCAAGAGTCGATATTAGGGACGCAAATTTTTAACTCAAACAAAGACTTTGTTATCATTGCTACGTGGGTAATTGATGTATTGATGGTTACATCAATCATTAGTTCAAGGTGCTCAGTGCATACGACTAACAGTTGCTAATTTGCGTGCACCAACCAAAACCGAAACCCAATTCATACTTGGTGGTAACTTACGGAGAGTCTTTTAATTTCATGTAATTGACATACACAGCTTAGAATATCCAGTTTGGTAGAATTTCACAGCTAGGTGATAATTATGAAATCTAATCTGAACTCTGAATTCTCCGATACAAGTTTTCGCAGAAAAATCACTGCAGGCATTAATGTGAAGCCAGCATCCAAATTCACAACTCCTAATTACATATCTAATCAATCAAACTGCTAATTTAATTGCTAAGCAAGTGATAAAGCCAGCTAATTTCATCAAAAGATAAACAATTTGAAGACATTAAGACGCAGAGCAGCAGGAAACTGACCTGGTTTCTGAAGGAGGCATCCCTCTCAGCCTCTCCAGCAGCCTTTCCCTGGCGAGCAAAACAGACCCGGGAAGCCTCTCGTTCCCGCTCAAACCAGCACTGCTTCCGGCGACCCCATTTCCAGAACCCTGGTGGGTCCCACCCTGCTCGAGCCCAACCGCCGCCCGATCCTGCAACCAAACCCAAACGCAAGATAAGCCTAAACCCAAACGCAAGATAAGCCTAAACCCAAACACACGTTTCAATCAATTACCGAATTGAATTGCAAATTACGAAAATACCGGGAGGGAGGCGCGGTGGTGGAAATGGCGCGGGGTTCGGCGGAGGAGGGGATCGCAGCCGTCGGAATTGTGGGGGCGGCGACCGTGATTGTGGTTGTGACTTCGGTCAACGGTCGGAGGAGGAGGGAGGGAGTCGAACCCTAGATCGGTGGCGGTTCGGCTGTTGTAGCGAGACCTCCGGTTGTAGAAAAGCTCCGAAGCGCTCGTCATACACATCAATCGCCTTGCTTTTTTTTTTCACCTTGTCCTCCTCGAAACGTGACTATTTGTTTCGGATTTTTTTGACGAATTTACAGTGCTTTTTCGCAGAAACGGTTGGGAAGGGGGAAGGGGGAAGGGACGGGCTCGCAAAAGCTGTTACATCTGCAAAACGCGGTGGGTGATGAGGGACCGAAGTGCTTTTTCTAATAGTGGCTTTTGCTTTTTTGTTGGAAATCACTTTTTTTGGACTTTGGGCTTTTCGGCTTTTTTTAGTGCGTGTTTTTTTCTGATTTGGGACGGATTGGGTTGAGATGAGGACGCGGACAGCGAGGACGTTGGGCGTTTCCATTTTTCGTCAAAGATATTTTCTTTGTTTATTTACGTCAATTCGTCACCCGTCGACCAGTATATATTTTCCGGGAGAATTTATTCGGTATGGTCCGGAGCAGTTATTTTTCATTATCTTTTTTGCACGCGCATTTATTTATCATGGGCGCTGGGCGCCCCCTTTTTAAATATGTTTGATAAACTTATAACGAAAATTACATTAACTTTTAATTGTACAGCGTAGGTTACATTTTTTTCTTCAAACTGTTATGACAAAATCATGATGATATGTTTTAATACATTGGTCCAAAACAAAGAAGAACAACATCTACATACAAAAACATAAAGTTACTTGTAATGTGAAATATCGGTACCAAATCACGGTATCTTTAATCACGAATGCTAATTTTCAAGCACAACGAATTTCCTTCTTAAAATTGAAAACCCAAATATGCTTAAAATAAAACAAAATGACAGCATAGGCCATGAGAAGATAGAAATGACTTCAAGTGTCAGCTACACCACTCCACCTATTCCTCTTCCGTTGGGGAAGCCCTGAATTGGAGTTCTTTGGTAGTTCTTTTGTTTCTCTTTCTTGGGTTTCTTTTGTTCTTTTTAAACACAAAATGCTTTTCTACTGGCTGTTTTGATTATTTCATACTTGCTGAAACATTTTCTTTTTTCACCTACAAACCGAATTATAATTTTTGGAAAAATGGATCAGGCCTCACCAAAAGAGGAAAGTGTGAACATATTGTAGAGAAAGAAAAAAAGTTAAATTCAACTCCTTGCGAATTTCATAAAGTCCATTTAAAGTCAATTTTAATTGAAATGAAGGAAATCGAACCTCTGAATGCTTAGAATCCATGTCAGAATCAATTATATTGACAATAAGAAAATCGAAAATTTAATATGTGGGAGAACCCAAAATTCGAACAATTAAGAGAATTAACCTGTCAAGATGACTATTTCGACAAAGCTTTGCGGAGTCGAAGATAGAGCAAACCTACATCAAATTAGACAAATAATACAATAAAAATTAGTTCAAGCACACACTCTTATAAACAAAGTAGCAAAAGCTTGATGATAGGCAAGCGTTCATGGTTGCAATGGCTATAGTTGCTTGAGCTGGTGATACTCTTGAATCATATGTCTTATGTGAAGTTGAGATTATTGTAGCTGTGTAATTAACAGGCAGGTTTATGTTTAGAACCTGCTTCTATGAAATTTTCTGTTCTGCACGTTGCTCACTGGAGTTTTGTTCCGTTACATGTGGTTGGTTTGGTTACTTTGGTTACCCGTAAGTTTACACTTGAAACAAAATTCAATGAGAAAAATGTAGGAATCTAATTACGAAATTCTTCAATGGAAATTTAAATTGCAGAAAAACCTTGAATTTTCCAAACTTGAGTGAAGAAAGAGAAAGGAGAAGTTGTCAAGAATTATCGTTTTGTTCCGTTTAGGATTTCAGAGAGCAAGGGATGAGGTCTTCATGGCAACAATTTTATTGCCGTGGCTATAAATCGAAGCATAAACCCTACAAACTTCCATTACAAGTAGGAGGGGTTACATGTGCCCTGAAAATTTTGACATTGAAATTTTTTTTCCGTAAAATTGAGAGGAAATAGGTGATTGAATGGAAGAAAGAAAAAAGGCCAATCACATATTCCAAAGGAAATGACATTTAACATACCTTTGGCAACCTTCTCATCTTTGAGCTTTGGAAACCGGAATTGCATTTACTTTTAGACCAAACTCTGATGAAAACCCAATGAGGGGAATCATTGATCAAAACCTTTTTTTCATGAAGAAGATCAGAATATTGTAACTGCCTAAATGTAGCCGGATAATTTATGATAAAAGGTTATGGGAGTTTAAAAATTGAACGTGATTATTCTTTCTCCCACGTTTTTATTTTTTTCAATTTTTCCTCTTCTACCTAAAATAAAATTCTCCATGGTTTTCCTCTTTTATCTAAAATTCTTCTCTCCCCCTTTTTGTTTTCCTTCTTTTAGCATTCCCAATAATGCTTTTTTTATTTCGTTTTTTTCTTTTAACTAAAATTCTTTTTAGCTTTTACAATAATTTGGATTTTTAATTATGTTTTTTTTGCAAAAAAATTTTGTGACAAAAGTATCCTTACTATTTTGTTTCTATTATTTCAGTCAGTTGTAGATTTTTTTCGTTTTAGGGACATTGTTGTCCAACTATTTTTGGTGAAGCTTGGGACACCAAAGTTGGCTTCTCATATTCTATTAGTAAGCGTTCATGCAAGCGCTTACGCGTGTGCAAAAGGCATTTTTGGAATCATGGCGTGCTACGCCCAACTTACACATTTTAAATGTATTTATATGCGTGAACTGCTTCAATATTTTTTTATGACAAAAAGCAAGTCAAATATTTGGACTAAATGAATAATATTAGACCATCCATATAATAAAATCGGTCTTTCAATTTCCATCTACATTTTATTGAATTTACAATAAAAATAGAGAAAATAATATTTAATAAACAACTTATTCAATCACATTATTGTTATCCCATTGTGAGAATAAGCCCATCTTCTCCCCCGTAGTGTAATAACATCATTTGTTAAAAAAAAATCATTTGACAACTAATTGAATCACATTATTATGCACGTGCGAAATGCTTTTTTTTTATAACTGGTACTACGTGCCTCTTAAGTGTTTAAAAATAGAGAAAATAATATTTAATAAAGAACTTATTGAATCATTGTGAGGTTAAGCCCACCCCATCCCCCTTAGTGTAAATAATATCGTTTGTTAAAAGTAAAAAAATAAAAAATAAAATCATTGACAACTAATTGAATCACATTATTATGCGCATGCGAAAGACTTTTTTCCATAACCGGCACTACGCGTCTCTTAAGATGTTTTAAACATGTTTAAAAATAGAGAAAATAATATTTAATAAACAATTGATTGAATCATTTATTGTTAGCTCATTCTAAGGCTAAGCCCACCCCCTCCCCCTTAGTGTAGATAATATCGTTCGTTCAAAAAAAAAATCATTTGACAACTAATTGAATCACATTATTATGCGTGTGCCAAATAACCGGTACTACGCGCCTTTTAAGATGTTTTAAACGTGTTTAAAAATAGAGAAAATAATATTTAATAAACAACTGATTGAATCACATTATTGCTAGCATATTGTGAGGTATTAATTATAAACAAAAAAAATATAAAAAAAACCTAAACCCTTCTCTTCCCCTCCACCCTCTCTGGCGAAGCTCTAAACTGGTATTGCCGTCTTCCACCTGAGACCAAGGAAGAAAATATCGGTGATATCGGAAATATCGGTAGTCCGAAAACACGGAAATATCGATGGAAATATCGGTAAAATATCGATATCGATAAAAATTACATGGAAACCACGGAAATTGTAAGAAAAACTTGGAAATTTTTATTGAAACTTTGTAGGATGTTTATTTAGTCAATTATCTATTAGTTTATCACAAAAAATTGGAAAGAAATGCATTGCATGATGGATTTAACATTATCAAGTTGATTATATAGCGATCTGACAAACATTATGAGTGTAGAAAATATGTAGTAATTAATGAAAGAAGTCTAAACACACCATAATCATTTATATATAATGAATTAGTACAATATTTTACACTTTAGTACCACATAGAGTTCCTATGAGATTCAAATTTGTCACTATCTTCATCATCTCTATGTGTAGAATGAGTGTATTGTGAAGAGTAGTTATCAAATGATAAATCCCCAAAATAGTTTTGCATGTAATTGTTAATATGCCACCCATATGGATCCGAGATTGGTTGAGGTTGTCCATAAGAAAAATCATTTGAAGATTGAGGCTGGGATTGATTCCATGAGTCGCTCGATTCCATCCCAACAGGAATGGGATATGAAGGGTAGGGAAATGGTTGGTTATGAGTATAACCATAGTTACTACTTCCCAATCCAACAGAGTCTGAAGTTCTAGATAACGAGTCATCTTCTTGACTTGACAAAATCCCTTTGCCTCTTTCTCTGCGAGTATAGTCCTTCCCTATGGCACCAATTCCTGGTCCTGCCCGCCTACTGCCATGGTCATCATCCTATGTTGCATGCGTGAAAAGAATACAAATTATAATTGTCTCATGTCCAAATAATTGTAAAACTTGTCAGGGATTATTGAGTGAGTTGTATCCTCCTGACAGGAGGAACCCACACACTCAAAAGACACATCGCACGCACACACAAAGCACGCACGCAGACAACCTCAGTCTCTCTCTCTCTCGATCCTTCTCGTTCTCTCTTCTCCCTTCTCTTCTTCCACACACACACTCACACAGAGAGCTCCTCAGTCTCTCTCTCTCTCGATCATCCTTCTCGATCTCTCTTCTCCCTTCTCTTCTCCCACACACACACTCACACAGAGAGCTCCACAGGTTGACATCGGATCCAAGTCCAACACACGCACACACAGAGATCGGACTCACAGAGATCTCCGATCTCTCTTCTGCCAAACACACACACACGCACACAGAGATCTCTCGATCTCTCTTCTCCATTCTCCGATCTCTCTTCTCCCTTCTCCGATCTCTCTTCTCCCAAACACCCACATACAAAGAGAGATCTCCGATCTCTCTTCTCCCAAACACACACACACACACAGATCTCTCGATCTCTCTTCTCCCTTCGCCGTTGATCGTGGCTCAGGCGAAGTCAGAGGTGCGCCGCTGAGCAAGGATCGTTCGTCTTCGTCTTCGTCAGGTGAGATTCCATGAAACCCTAAACCCTAAACCGACTTCACCCTGCCTTGAATCGTTTATGCATGCGTGAAATCTGATGTATATATGTGAAATTGATGTTAAGATTCATGTTTTTGCAAGGTTTTTGGGA